AGCTGTACTTCCGGTGCCTCCTCTTCTTTTGCTTCTTATTTTTGTTCTTCCATTTTCTCTTCCTCGGAGTCTGGCAAATGTGTGGCGGATGTGCAAGTGGGGGTGGATCTGCGACGATGGGGAGTGGTTTTGGGTTTGTTTGTTGGTGTGGCGGTGACGGTGAGGGTTCCAGTCGATTAGATCAGGGCGTTGTGCTCTCCGTCGATTAGATCGGGCGAGGTGGTGGTGATGTGTGGTTGTGGTGGTTACTGTGACGACAGTGAGGTGGTTAGTGTCACTTTACTCTCCATTGGTGATAGAGGTTAGTTGAAAATGATGGTTGTGGCGATGACCTTTTGGGTTTTCTTTTTTTGTTTATGTTTGTGAGTTTCAGATTGGAGACGATGTTGGTGGTGTGGCGGTAAGGTGGTGTTACTACTGGTTGTCGTGGTGTTTGGGTAATGGTGATGTTGGTCGTGGTGGTTGTCTGGAGGCGGTGGTAGTGGTCATGGCGACGGTGCAGAGGTGGAGGTGGTGGTGGTGGATCTAGCTATTTTGATTTTCTGCGACTAAAGATTAATATGTGACCTTAAAATTCGCTAATCTGTGATTAAAAATATAATTTGTGACCAACTATTTTGTTATATATGACCTAAAAATTATATAATATATGATCGTGAAAAAATCTGTGACCGTGTGACCTAAAAATTTTGATTTGTGACCAACTAATTTTGAAATGTGTGACCAACGAATTAGCTGTAACCTACAAAATTTATGAACCATGACCGTAAAATAATAAAAATTATTATTTGTGATTGATTACCGTCTAAAATTTAATTATATTATAGTACAGTTTAATATTTAATTTAATATAACGATGTGAAATATAATTAATTAATTAGTGTGAAAAATCTGATTTTTGCAATTTTAAAATTTGGGGCCTGATTTTCGTGATAGATAATACATGATTCATGAATTTTCCCCATAATATTATTTATCATCAATGATAGTAACACCAATTTAAATAGTCACACTTAATAGATGTAGTTAAATGAATATTTTGACTGGATGAATCTATCATTAGCCCTCGTTTGGCCCCCCACTAGAATTATAATCTATTTTTCTCTCTTCTTATCAACCACAAATTTTCTTATAAAATAATATTTCACGTAAACTCAAAACATTTTCTTCTTTTTTAAACACATATTTTTCAAAAAAATAATATTTCAAAAATTATAATATCAAATAATAGGGGGCCATACGGAAAATTAATGACATCTAATTGACACATAAACTGGCGCTAAAAAGCGTCACTCTTTTTAAAAATATTAAGACACTATTTATTACTTAGATTTTATTTATATTTATCTATAATGATAATCATCATCAATTTAATGATTAACGTTACCTGGTTCTTCTATAAAAAAAAAAATGTATTCTTTTTTAATTAAATAATATTGTAATGCATTACTATCACATACTTTTATTTTTTTTGCGTACATCATTTTTCTCACAAGCACCTTACAAGTGTTGCGTCAGCATCACCTATAGATGCAT